TCGCTGTAAGCAGTAGATTGCAGAGCAGTTCATACAAGTCTCACAGAATGATGATTGAAGCCTGTGTCATTTGTCTCACAATATCGCAGCAGGAACACACATGATACTCAGTAGAAATGATGGACCACAACTGTCTTCACTCTAGCCTATTTATAGGCAAATTTCAGGTACACCACCTGGGTTTCCACATGATCCAATCATAATGTGGTCTTGCTAACAGCTGTCTCACATCTGCAAGTCAGAAGATCATAAACATCTTTTGTTATGTAAATCACAAGCACACCTGGTAGATTCCAATTGTCCTTCAAAAGTTGTAAACACCCTTTTTTATGTAAATCACAAGCACACCTGGTAGATTCCAACTGTCCTTCCAGAGTATGACCAACACGTATGACCTGTCAATCACCTTTATGAGAGTTATCACACGGCAATGCACACCGTTTTTTCCCATGATTCCATGCACACTTCTGTTTGCAGGGTTTGCGGTAACATGACAAAAACATAAAATCAAGGATGCTGACACCAGCTATCCACAGATGGTGGCACTTGTTAACTGAACCTTGCTCACTAACATTACAATTTGACTTACAAAATACCAGTGTGCACAATTTGAAGTGCCAGTGAAACTCTTGCTACCCTGATGTCCAAAATCATCTATTGATATGTGAATATTATCATAGTTCTTATATCTGAGCACAAACTAAATATTTTAATAAAAAAAATGAGTTTCAAAGTTGTTTTAGAAGCATTATTAGAACAGTAACAACTTATTTACTTATTTTTCATATAACAATTGTAAGGTCTGTCATCATGGCTTACAATGTATTAAGTTTGCACTCTGTTTGATACCAATATTTTATTCCGAACAACAAAATCATGATTTCATTAGCATAATAGTAATTCACATCCTGTAAACAGAATAGTTTTACAACTACAAGTTTTTACGGTATTCAGTGCATGGCACTTGTTAGGCTTCCCCACTTGTCTGACTTTTGTTGGCATAGTTTTACTTCTAGAAAAGTCAGAAAGCCGGAAACAGTCAACAGGAACACCAGAAGGGGGCATAGCTAAAACTTGGAATCCTTTCAATTTTACTTGAAGATGATTTATTATTTAGTTTTTACAAATGTCCAATTCAGGTCAACAGAAACCAAAAACAAACACTTTAATGTAAACTCTATGTTGTGTTATCCTATATTGGTGAGTCTGCCCTCACAGGCAGAATCTTCAATTTATTTTCAGACAATATAAATTTGTTGATGCTTATTATTGCACATCAAAACTGTTTAAAATATTTTCGATCCTAAATATAAATATTTAAAAACTTTTTCAGATATAGCAGCTTCAGCATATGGACGTGATTTCTTGGTAACTAATAGCAACGGGCAGATATTGATAAACACTATGACTAGTATATTGTCACAGACACCAATAACTCATAGTGCGAAACTTAGAAAGTAAGTACAAGGTTATTTCAGGACAGTACTAGTTTGCCAGACCTCTCTCACAAGTATTTATTGAATTCACATTGCCATTGTGAAGCATTATATCGTTGGGCAAGTCTGAGTGCTGAGAATTGTTTTCTTACCTTTGTATATGCATCAGCCGTCCGTTCATTGCACCTGTATCTTGAAAATGCATGGACCAATCACATTCAAGCTTTTGTGTGTCTAATTTTTGCACACTTATGTTTATATCTCAAATTCACATTGTCCAATGACAACCAAACTCATCACATCAATCAATGAAAGTTGATTTTGCCACAATCAAAATCAGTTATTTTCGTCCTTTTTCGCACATTTTTCAAATTCACGCAGTTCAATTAGGTTTATTGTTCACAGACAATTGTGTTCTAGCATATTGACAACAGTTGATTTGTGTCACAATACAATACAATGCAGCCTTAGACCATATATTGCAATTCCAAATCATAGTGAATTGTCTGGCAGTCCAAGGTGTATAACTGGTACATGCACTCAATTATAAAGTAGCATATAAACTGTAACACTTCATTTGTCATATATTAAAGTATAAGATTAAAGATTAAGGGGGCTGTGACCATAGAAGTTTGTTAATGATATTTGAGTAAGTTTAGATTGTCACTGGAGTGGTTGAGATGTGCAATACAATCATCCAATGAAAGCAAAGATGAAAAGTAATGTGTGACCTGCATACAATGAAATTGACATACATAAGAGATAAAAGGGCAACCCTAATGTGTTAGGTACACATTTTGATAGCAAAAAAAGGACAGGTTGTGATAAAGCTTAACTGTATACACTGTTTAAAGTTAATGAAGGAACATTTACTACGTTCACTTTACAGGATCTCGGCACATGCTGAAATTGTTAATCCTTCATGTTTGGAGAGGGATTACAGCAGTTAGTCAGGACCCATTAACATTTCACCTATTTGCTGTTATAGTATTTATTACGACTCGTCATGCACATGACTGCCAAAGAAGATTAAAAAAATTATATATTTTTCACGCGATGTAGCATTGCAAGAGAACAATGGTTGCAGTAGCACATAAATATGCGTCGCTGACGACGGTTTGCATTAATTTTATTATTTTTATGTTCTCTTAATTGCACCACCAAGAGCATGATTTTGGTTACTGACAAGCATTCAGGCAGCAAATCTCTACACGTGCCGAGTTTCGGTCCTGAGCATCTAGCATTCTCTAACGTGACGCCACTATTATGTCTTGGGGTCAATATAATCCACTGCCATAATTGTTATAGACACAGGTGAATGACTGTCCAGAGAATTATATGCACAGCTGTGTGTCACCATGCATTCTTGTTACTTATTTACAGCCTTATACTGATGTGTTTGTACAATATAAGTATCAATCAAAAAGGATTGAAATACATACTGAGTATCCAGGGAATGATACCACTGTTAGCCTGGTTAGTAACAGGTAAGTAACGTAATATACCACTGTTAGCCTAGTTAGTAATGAAATAGTAACAATACTGTAATATATTACTGTTAGTATGATAACAAATTAGTAAGTAACATAACTGTAATATACCACTATTAGCATGATTAGTGTAAGTAATGTTACTTGTACTATACTACTATTCGCTGCATGGTTAGTAAATGGAACAGTAACGTTACTTGTAATATACCACTGTTGATCTATATGATTAGTAATGGGAGATTAGCGTTACTTGTAATGTACAACTGTTAGTCTGCATGGTTAGTAATGGGTTAGTAACATTACTTGTAATGTACCTCTGTTAGCATGATTAGTAATGGGAGATTAACATTACTTTTACTATACCACTGTTAGTCTGCATGGTAAGTAATGGAAGAGTAACATTACTTGTACTATACCACTGTTAGTCTGCATGGTTAGTAATGGAAGAGTAACATTACTTGTACTATACCACTGTTAGTCTACATAGTTAGTAATGAGTTAGTAACGTTACTTGTATGTACCTCTGTTAGCATGATTAGTAATGGGAGATTAACATTACTTGTACTATACCACTGTTAGTCTGCATGGTTAGTAATGAAAGAGTAACATTACTTGTACTATACCACTGTTAGTCTACATAGTTAGTAATGAGTTAGTAACGTTACATGTATGTACCTCTGTTAGTCTACATACATGTAGTTAGTAATGGGTGAGTAATGTTACTTGTACTATACCACTGTTAGTCTACATAGTTAGTAATGGGTGAGTAATGTTACTTGTACTATACCACTGTTAGTCTACATAGTTAGTAATGAGTTAGTAACGTTACTTGTATGTACCTCTGTTAGCATGATTAGTAATGAGAGATTAACATTACTTGTACTATACCACTGTTAGTCTGCATGGTTAGTAATGGAAGAGTAACATTACTTGTACTATACCACTGTTAGTCTACATAGTTAGTAATGAGTTAGTAACATTACTTGTACTATACCACTGTTACTCTACATACATGTAGTTAGTAATGGGTGAGTAATGTTACTTGTACTATACCACTGTTAGTCTACATAGTTAGTAATGGGTGAGTAATGTTACTTGTACTATACCACTGTTAGTCTACATAGTTAGTAATGGGTGAGTAATGTTACTTGTACTATACCACTGTTAATCTGCATGTTAGTAATGGAAGAGTAACATTACTTGTACTATACCACTGTTAGTCTACATAGTTAGTAATGAGTTAGTAACATTACTTGTAATGTACCTCTGTTAGCATGATTAGTAATGGGAGATTAACATTACTTATACTATACCACTGTTAGTCTGCATGGTTAGTAATGGAAGAGTAACATTACTTGTACTATACCACTGTTAGTCTACATAGTTAGTAATGAGTTAGTAACGTTACTTGTATGTACCTCTGTTAGCATGATTAGTAATGGGAGATTAACATTACTTGTACTATACCACTGTTAGTCTACATACATGTAGTTAGTAATGGGTGAGTAATGTTACTTGTACTATACCACTGTTAGTCTACATAGTTAGTAATGGGTGAGTAATGTTACTTGTAATATACCACTATTAGCATTATTAATAATGGGTGAGTAATGTTACTTGTAATATACCACTGTTAGTCTGCATAATTAGTAATGGAAGAGTAAACATTACTTGTACTATACCACTGTTAGTCTACATAGTTAGTAATGGGTAAGTAATGTTACTTGTAATGTACCACTATTAGCATTATTAGTCCCCGTTCAGACGAAGTTCGAAAACAGGGACTTATAATTCGGTCTCCGTGCGTCTGTGCGTCCAGAGTCATATCTCAACATCCCTTGGACCGATTCCGTTCATTCTTTGCATGTGCCTAGTACTTTATGTGGGACATATGCACATGCAGTGGTTTAGCGATTCGATTCAAAATGGCCGACTGGCAGCCATCTTGTTTTTTGAAAATGTTGTATTTTGGACATGCTTTGTCAGTTTTCATTCAAACTTGGTACATAGATTATACATGTTAGGATACATGTCCATGACGATTTATTTCACAATTGGATCAAAGATGGCCGACTGGCAGCCATCTTGTTTTTTGAAAATGTCATATTTTGGACATGCTTTGTCAGTTTTTATTCAAATTTAGTACATAAATCATACATGTTAGGATACATGTCCCCGACCATCTGTGAGTTACTGAGTCTGTCCGTCCGTCCGTCCGTGCGTGCGTCAGTCTGTCCAGAGTCATATTTCAGAATCCTGTGGACCGATTTTGTTCATTCTTTGCATGTGCCTAGTACCTTATTTGGGACATATGCACATGCAGTGGTTTAGCGATTCAATTCAAAATGGCCGACTGGCAGCCATTTGTTTTTTGAAAATATTGTATTTTGGACATGCTTTGTCAGTTGTCATTCAAATTTGGCACATACATGTATTGTATACATGTTAGGATGCATGTCCATGACAATTTGTTTCAAAATCTGGTCAACGATGGCCGATTGACAGCCATCTGACTTTTTGGCTTTACTACTATATTTCCACAATTTATGTATCATTTTCATTCGTATTTGGCACATACATCATACATATCAGTGTGTTTCATAATCAGATCAAAGATGGCCGAATAACGACTGTTTTTATATTTGGCCATATTACTACTACACGGAACACGTGTTTTGATGTAAATAAATCTGTTGTATACGCCACTTGGAACTAAAGTTTCAAGGACACGCTCGTGACAACCCCTACGCTTTAATATGACGAGCACAAAGAGAACTTTCAAAAATTTAACGGGGACTGTGTCATTTTCAATGACTTGTTAATAATGGGTGAGTAATGTTACTTGTAATATACCACTGTTAGCATAATTAGTAATGGGAGATTAACGTTACTTGTACTATACCACTGTTAGCATAATTAGTAATGGGAGATTAACGTTACTTGTACTATACCACTGTTAGCATAATTAGTAATGGGAGATTAACGTTACTTGTACTATACCACTGTTAGCATAATTAGTAATGGGAGATTAACGTTACTTGTACTATACCACTGTTAGCATAATTAGTAATGGGAGATTAACGTTACTTGTACTATACCACTGTTAGCATAATTAGTAATGGGAGATTAACGTTACTTGTACTATACCACTGTTAGCATAATTAGTAATGGGAGATTAACGTTACTTGTACTATACCACTGTTAGCATAATTAGTAATGGGAGATTAACGTTACTTGTACTATACCACTGTTAGCATAATTAGTAATGGGAGATTAACGTTACTTGTACTATACCACTGTTAGCATAATTAGTAATGGGAAATTAACGTTACTTGTACTATGCAACTGTTAGCATAATTAGTAATGGGAGATTAACGTTACTTGTACTATGCAACTGTTAGTCTACATGATTGGTAATGGGTAAGTAATGTTACTTGTAATATACCACTGTTAGCAAGATTTTAGTGTTGGGTAGATTAACAGTACTTGAAATATATTTCTGTTAGCCTGGTTAGTAATAAGTAAGTAACGTTATGAAAATCCACAAACCAAATGATATTTCTGTTAAAGTCTGTGCATATTAATTACCTAGTTTGCATAATAATTAGCGAACTTCTAGCAGTCACACTGATAAGCAATCAGATATATTACTTTTGTTAATGTAATATAATATCTACAGTTTTTCTGTTATTATTATTGACAGTGACACTGTTGATCAACTTGTTTTCCGGTGTTCATCACAAACCACAAAATCAGCCAATATATTTTGAATCTTGAATATATTTTTCTCTGTAGAAGAAAAAGAAAGTGACAACCAGTTGCATACATTAAAGGTCATACAGTCACTGATAATAGAACCTGATAATATAGAAGTCATACATCAAGTCAATGAAGTGGTATGTCCTCGGTGTTTTACTAGCTATGTTGATTATTTATTAAAATACTAGAATGCAATTATATCAGAAAATAACTATAACATGTTTTACTCTATATAGTTACCTGTAGAAAAGTTAGAGAAGTTTGCTAAATCTCGCCATCCTGATTTAAAGGAAATAGCTGTTGAATTGCTAATGGATCTCAAGTCAGTGATTTGATTTGAATTGAACAGGTAATGTATTAAGATATAAAGATAGACATGCAACGGGTACCTTTCAGATCTGCTGTGTATTATTCAAATTAATGGTAGTAGAGCTATGAAGCTATAGGCAATAGTTTTAGAGAAAATATGTATCTATCCTGAGGTGTAGATCATTGAGATGATGGTCTTAGAGAAGGAAGGGTTTACAGCTAGTGTTAATAGAACATAGAATGCAAGGAAAAGCTAGAGAATAGGACACTATATATTTGCAGGTGTGGGGCTCAGGTTGAAAGTTGGAATTTTATATGGTCTGGGATAGAAGGCAATGACCTTTGGGCAGCTGGTTGTGTGGGGCTCAGGTTGAAAGTTGGAGTTTTACATGGTCTGGGATAGAAGGCAATGGCATTTAGTTGAAGGCATGGTATAAGAAAGAAGTTAATAGTGTTTGGTCAGATGCAGGTGTGGGGCTCAGGTTGAAGCCATTTGATCTTGAAAAGCTAGAGGTGTACAACATGGTTTGGAATAGAAAGCAAAGTTGGTCTTACATTGAAGGCATTGATGTAGGTGTTGAACTAGGCTTAAAGGCAATGGTCACTGGGAAGCTGTAGGTGTGGAACTAGGCTTAAAGGCAATGGTCACTGGGAAGCTGTAGGTGTGGAACTAGGGTTAAAGTCACGGTCACTGGGAAGCTGTAGGTGTGGAACTCGGGTTAAAGTCACGATCACTGGGAAGCTGTAGGTGTGGAACTAGGGTTAAAGGCAGTGGTCAGTGGGAAGCTGTAGGTGTGGAACTAGGGTTAAAGGCAATGGTCAGTGGGAAGCTGTAGGTGTGGAACTAGGGTTAAAGTCACGGTCACTGGAGAGCTGTAGGTGTGGAACTAGGGTTAAAGGCAGTGGTCAGTGGGAAGCTGTAGGTGTGGAACTAGGGTTAAAGTCACGGTCACTGGGAAGCTGTAGGTGTGGAACTAGGGTTAAAGGCAGTGGTCACTGGGAAGCTGTAGGTGTGGAACTAGGGTTAAAGGCAGTGGTCACTGGGAAGCTGTAGGTGTGGAACTAGGGTTAAAGGCAGTGGTCACTGGGAAGCTGTAGGTGTGGAACTAGGGTTAAAGTCAATGGTCACTGGGAAGCTGTAGGTGTGGAACTAGGCTTAAAGGCAATGGTCACTGTAAGCTGTAGGTGTGGAACTAGGGTTAAAGGCAATGGTCACTGGGAAGCTGTAGATGTGGAACTAGGGTTAAAGTCAATGGTCACTGGGAAGCTGTAGGTGTGGAACTAGGCTTAAAGGCAATGGTCACTGGGAAGCTGTAGGTGTGGAACTAGGGTTAAAGTCACGGTCACTGGGAAGCTGTAGATGTGGAACTAGGGTTAAAGTCACGGTCACTGGGAAGCTGTAGGTGTGGAACTAGGGTTAAAGGCAGTGGTCAGTGGGAAGCTGTAGGTGTGGAACTAGGGTTAAAGTCACGGTCACTGGGAAGCTTTAGGTGTGGAACTAGGGTTAAAGGCAGTGGTCAGTGGGAAGCTGTAGGTGTGGAACTAGGGTTAAAGGCAGTGGTCACTGGGAAGCTGTAGGTGTGGAACTAGGGTTAAAGGCAGTGGTCACTGGGAAGCTGTAGGTGTGGAACTAGGGTTAAAGTCAATGGTCACTGGGAAGCTGTAGGTGTGGAACTAGGGTTAAAGGCAGTGAGTGGTCACTGGGAAGCTGTAGGTGTGGAACTAGGGTTAAAGTCACGGTCACTGGGAAGCTGTAGGTGTGGAACTCGGGTTAAAGTCACGGTCAC